TTTTTTTTTTGGATATAATGTAATGCTGCTACTAGACTGCAAACGTGATCTTGCATATGTGGAATTTTATATTTAAAATTTTCTAAATACTGGTATATATTTTGTTTATCAAATTTATTAGAATATTCAATTACAATACTTATTTTTAGACAATCTCTTCATTTGACAACCATCTCTTATTTTAACTCATTCCATTTTAGATATTGATTCATAAGAAATATTGCAAACATTTGGATGATTGATCAGTTATTTGATTTTAGTGAAAAAGATATGAAGATCATCAATAGTATCCCATTTTGACTCCCCCAATCTTCCTCAATTTCAGTTATTTTTTATTTGATGATCTTGCATTATTTACGGTTGTATATAACACTTCTACCATTAAGCAAGGTAGTCCATCAAATAAAGTATTTTCCATGCCTCGGTAATCAATTTCTTTAATTGAATCACATTTACTTGATTTAAATACGCTGACCGCACAGACAAATGAGACATTTGATCATATTTAAAAAGAAGTGAATATACAACAGCGACCATAACGTATACGGAAGAGAAGAAGATGTGAAATTCATGCCAATTTAATCATTATTTATTATTAATTTTTTAAAACCTAATCATTACTTATTTTTATTAATCACTTGTTAATTAATATAGCATTAATTATTACTATTATTATGATATAATGATTAACACTCATCCAACTATTTACTCTTAATTGATTATTGAAATGATAATCCAATCATTATTAAAATCATAGTAGGGGATCTGTGTGTGGTGAGGGATTTAAAGAAGTTGTTTAAAGGGTGATGAAATTTAGAAGTTGTTCAAAATAAGATAAAGTTTAGTTATACAAAAAAACAAAACTTATTGAAGATATTGCTCTTGGTTAGATAAATTTTAGAAGTTGTTCAAGCCTTGAACAAGTTTTACTATAGCATTTGGAGAAATAAATCCCACCAATGTAGCATTTGGAGATTTTTTTTTATTGTTTGTAAACAATCAAAGAATTTCCACAACTGAATAACACCATCTATTGAAAAGTATACGAGTCCATACAACACACAGTGTAAATCACTACCTAAATAGATCTGTCTGACCGAAATGGGCTTAGGAATAAGAAGCAATCCCAAGCCCAATATAACTACAACAGACCCAGATACGGAAAATACAGGAATTATTTTTAACATTCCCCCTCAAGTTGGGGGCTGAAACAAATTACAACAATCTAACTTGCTAAGCAATCTCAATTGTGTCTCTTTTCCTACAGCCTTGGTTAGGATGTCTGCCTCTTGATTTGCAGATCTCACATGCTGCAACTTCACAAGTCCTTCTGTCACTTTCTCCCTTACAAAGTGACAAGCTATTTCAATATGCTTCATACACTCATGGAAAACTGGGTTTGTAGCTATGTATATGGCTGATCTGCTATCACAGAACACATTAACTAGATCTTGCACAGGAATTCCCAGATCTGACAGCAACCCTCTTACCCAAATCACTTCTGAAACAGCTGAACCCAATGCCCGATATTTAGCTTCTGTTGAAGATCTTGACACCGTTGTCTGCTTCTTCGTTTTGCTAGATAATGAGGGAATCTCCTAATTTGAGGAGATACCCCGTGACCGACCTCCTCATGGTCTCGCATGACCCCCAATCTAAATCATAGAAGCATTTTAGGTTCAGATCTCCATCCGAGCTCAACCGTATCCCAAGGCCAAGTGATTGCTTCAGATATCTTAGTACTGTTAGAGCTGCTGCCCAATGAGACTTCATAGAAAGCTGCATGAATTGATTAAGCACCTGCACAGGAAAAGAAATATTAGGCCTTGTCATTGTCAAGTAAATTAGCTTACCAACTAGTCTCCTATACTTCCCTGGTTCTTGAAGCAAGTCCTCCTTCTGGTGCTTCTTCTCTTCATATGTTACCAGCTTCATATGTTGCGGCATAGGCAGTGTGAGTGGCTTACTGTAACATCCACCACTTACTAACTAGAACTAACCATGATAGAAAGGACTAAAACTAGTAAACATACCCTATCATGGTTATTTAAGAACAATCACATCACTAAGGGGCTAACCATGATAGAAAAGCATTCGACCTTAATTAAGGCTATCATGGTTAGAAAAGAATAACCTATATTTGTAATCATGCAAACATGGTTATAAAACAATACGCCTCTAAATGATATATTATAATAGCAATTCAAATTTGACTATATTAGTCAATATTAGCAACAATTAAACTTGCAAAAATTACCATTATCACATCGTGGATCCACAATAATTCAATCACATGCAATCTAAGGGCCTTAGGCCCACTACCAGCACTCTAGTCCAATATCCAAACAAAATAAACCAAAGATAGAAAGTATAATACGTTCATTAAGTCAAACGACATAAAAATATAAGAAGGTAAAATAAATCCCAAATGAATGCAGTCCTGATGTGTGGCAATATACGAAAAGATTGCATAAAATAAGGTCCAGAAGCTCTACACTGTCAGCTACAGCTATTGAGCCTCAAGAGTCTTCCTCGAAGGTCCCGCTAACGTATTGTTTCCTGAAAATGGTAAAGCAACAGAAGTGAGACAACGTCTCAGTAACTAAATCCCTACCTATCCCACACCCTAGCATGGGCTAGTGAGGTGTCAGGTGGGATACACAGAGTTAATAATAGTTGATAAACATTTATTTAAACATTTAAACTCACAATAATCATACAAGACAAATATTTCCACCAATCTCATGCAATTGATACATTTTAAAAGAGATAACATACTTGTCATTTATTTAAAAGATATAAATATCAATGAATATCCCATGTCATATGCAATTCCTGAACCCAAATCCACCTTATATCCTCCTTATTCCTTATTTCCGCCGACTGGACCCATGGGCTAAGTTCTTTCCATTTGACTAGCAACTTTGACAAGCTCACCACACGAATGATGTGGACTGGCCAAAGACCACAGAGCACTCGGTGGACCATGGGTCCCCCCTCGAAGAACTAGTGGGGTGTAGCAGTCCCTCGAAGAACTAGTGGGACAATAATAGCAGCCAACCATAGAGCTCCGTATGGAGGCTAATACCACATGGCAAGTATATAAATCAACTCCAATTACCTCCTTTCCCCACCCAAAATAGATGCACAGGGTTCAAAATGACGCATTTATATGCATAATCAACAGAATTTCATAATAACACATCATAATCATGATCACCAATTTCTTGCAATACAAACTATATCAATCCTTTTTAAAATAGCATCCCACAAGACAGTTCATACAAAACGTAATATACTTTTACAGAATTAGTTATAAAGCCGCTCACCAACTTCATACTAGAGCATGCAACAGATAGAAATTTAGTTACCTGGTCTCCTAGCTAACAGTCAACTACAACCAGAGTCCAACCTCGAAAATGCCACAATAGAGTTTATATCTACAAAAAAAATTAAAATATTATATCTATAGTATTAGAGTTTGCTACTCACAAAATTTTAGCCTCTAACTCCTCTTCTAAAAGCTTTAATTCTACTCAGAACTCTAGCCTAAAAGACATTTTTCTAAGGTTTGGAATGAGAACATATATATATATGATTTAGACTCGATTCCTAAATTTTCCTTACTTAAATATCCTTTAATTGTTAGATTATATTATTAGAACCATCAAATTCATAATTTAAATAGATAAACTGTAAATTTATAACTTATATTCCATTTTCGAAGGACTTAGACAAATAGACTTAGTATGAACCAGGTTATTCTCACTACAGAAGTTAAACCCTTAATCTAACCATTGAATTTAATTCCCTATCTATTATGATACTATCCTCCAAATTATTATAGCTCAATCTAACGGTGAATGAACTTGAAAATGCTAATTTACTATTCAGGACTCTATCTGCTAAATCCAAAAGATATAAGTTAAAAACGTACCTAATAACTTGTAACTTGGGGATCAAAATAATGATCCAACCATTGAAATTAACGATTTGGATGTCCCAAATGGGCTGACCAAATTTCAGTCCGATCCAACGGTTAATAAACACAAAACTAGCACTTTTCTGAGACTACCTCAGATATATGCGAAAATTATTTACTCACTTCAAACTCCACTCATTATCTCCTATATACAGGCTCCTCAAACTCCTTCACTCTAAAAATTAGTCGATGTGGGACTTCTATGCCATGGTTTAATTTTCTAGAATATCATCCACACACACACACACAATCACACACAAAAAAATTATTAAAATAATAATAATAATTTGCCTATATCTAACTTTTTTTTAATTAACTTAATACTAAAATATATTTATTTATAATTTAATTAAATACTAGATAAAAAATAAGGATGTTACACTTACAGCCACTCATACCAGTTTCTGCAAGTAAGTCTAGAGTGTATTTTCTTTTGGAAAGAACAATACCTTTCTTGGACCTAGCAACTTCTATTCCTAAAAAGTACCTCATGATTCCTAGATCCTTGATTTGAAAATGACTATGCAGAAAACACTTGACTTGTTCAATTCTTTGTTTATTACTACCAGTTATCAAAAGGTCATCTACATAAACCAAGATAATTACTGAACCATTATCATAATGTTTGAAATATAATGAGTAATCATATTTGCTTTGTAAGAAACCCCCACTCAGTAAAGCCAAAGATAACTTTTGGTTCCATTGCCTAGAAGCTTGTTTAAGCCCATATAAAGACTTCTTAAGCTTACAAACCATATTACCTTCTTGATTTCCAAACCCTTGAGGTATAGTCATGTATACCTCTTCATTAAGGTCTCCCTGCAAGAAAGCGTTATTCACATCCATCTGATATAAAGACCAATCATTCACAGCAGCCAACTTAAGAACAGTCCTCACAGTTACCATCTTAAATACTAGTGAAAAGGTCTCATTATAATCTACTCCTTCTACTTGGTTATATCCTTTTGCTATCAATCTAGCTTTATACTTGTCAATAGTTCCATCAGGTTTGTATTTTATTTTATATACCCATTTACAACCGATTGGTTTCTTATTTTTAGGCATTGGGACTATATCCCAAGTTTTATTCTCTTCTAAGGCTTGAATTTCACTTTTCATGGCAGCCACCCAATTCTGATCTTTAACTGCCTCGTAATAGGTAGGTTCAAAAACATCATCAATAGAGCAAAGGAAACACATATGAGAGGAAGAAACATTATCATATGAAATATAATCCTCTATCGGATACCTACAGTTAGACTTACGCTTCTGTTTCACATTGGACTGTCCTAAGAGAGACTGTGTCATATTACAAACATAATCCTTGGCCCATATGGGAGGCCTTCTCTCCCTACTAGGTCTCCCTGTTTGGTTTAAATCATTCCTATTAACATTAGCTTGGATGTGACCTCCAGTGCTTTCTTCCTTAGGCTATCTAGTGTTTATTATGGCATCCCTTTTATGATGTACATATATATCATCAAAATCATCAAAAAAAAAACATTTGCTTTATGTCCTTAGACACTCCCCCTTGATCGGTGCTATGCCCATTTTTAAAAGGAAAAACATTTTCAAGGAACTTGACATGCCTGCTTATAAAATTTTTCAGATTTAATAAAACAAATCCCTTTTGATTAGGAGGATAACCTAAGAAAACACATGGTATAGATCTGGGTTTAAACTTGTCAGTAACTATCAGATCTATAGCATAACATAGATAGCCAAAAACTTTCATATTACAGTAATTTGCAGCATGTCCAAGAACAATTTGATAAGGAGTTTGAAACCTTAAAATCCTACTCGGTATTCTGTTAACAAGGTAGGTAGCAGTTTTAACACATTCCCCCTAAAACCTAATAGGCAAACTGGACTGAATGATTAATCCCCTTGAGATTTGCATTAAAGTTCGATATTTTCTTTCAACAATACCATTTTGTTCTGGGGTATAAGGACATGTAGTTTCATGAATGATACCTTCTTCCTTAAAGAAACTATTCAGATCATGATTAACAAATTCACTACCGTTATCACTCCTTATTCTCTTAATGCAGGAACTGAACTGAGTTAATACATAAGCAAAGAAAGTTTTAATGTGATGAGCAGTTTCAGATTTATTTTTCATCAAATAAGTCCATGTAGCTCTAGAAAATTCATCCATAATAGTAAGAAAATATTGAAATCCAGCATGTGTAGGAACCTTGTAGGGTCCCCAAACATCCATATGAATCAGGTCAAAGCATCTAACAGTTCTGATACAGCTAGAGGGAAAGGGGAGCTTTGTCTGGTTGGATTGAAAACAAGTATCACAATTTTTATTTATTACTATATATTTGTTTTTCACTATTTCCAGATGTTTGATTATATTGAGGGGTGCATGCCCCATTCTTTCATGCAGAAGCCACAAATCAACAGATTTATCAGTGTCACAATCATGAACAGAGTTCATACAAGCATAATCCTTTTCCAATCTCAATAGATATAATCCATGATCTACTCTACCAATCCCCTTCATCTTCCTATCCAGAAGGCCCTGCAAGGTGCATTTATTAGGATAGAAAGGAACAATACAAAGAGTCTCTTTTGTTATTTGTGAAATAGAGATTAAGTTAAATTGAAGTTCAGCAACACACAGAATTCCTTTTAACTCTATTCCATCAGGGAACTTAACATCTCCTATGTGAGTTACAGAAAATCTATCACCATTAGGAATTCTTATATGTTTGCTAGGCCCAGTATATGTTTTATAACTATCTAACAAATCTAAATCACTAACCATGTGTGTGGTGGCTCCAGAATCAATAATCCATTTACTGTGATTCAATCTAGTGATAGAAAGATCATGCAAACCTGTACCGGTGAGTGCATGGGCGTTGGTTTCTGAATCTTTCTTCAGAATTTCCAATAACCTCTCGTACTGCTCCAGGGTGAAGTTGGGGGATACAACAGTCGAAGTGTTGGTGAGAGCCTCTGCTTCTCTTTGTCCACCACTCTGATTCCCTTTGCCTTCTTGATTCTGTCTTCCTTTGTTCCCTTTGTAATCCGAAGGGAATCCAATAATCTGCCAACAATAGTCTCTCGTGTGACCTTTCTTGTGGCAGTGGTCACATTCGAGTAGGGGAGCACCTTTCCCTCTACCTCTTCCCTTCGCAGTCATTGCCATTCCTTCACTTCGAATTGTTTTCTCCAGGCTTGTAATGCTTCTCTGTGCTTCATCCTCTAGGACCATCGCATAAGCCTGGTTGACCGTTGGAAGGGGCTACATCAAGAGTATCTGACTCCCAGCGTTCGTGTAGGCTTCATTGAGTCCCATTAAAAACTGCAAGAGCCTCAGTCGCTGAGTTGCTTCATGATATGCTTGAGAAGTGGGACATTTACAGGTCGGGATTGCCATTAAATTTCCCTGTTCTTCCCACAATTCTTTCAGCCAAGAGTAATAGCCCGATATAGAAAGGTCATCTTGCCAAAGAGAGTGAATTTCACAGTGAAGAAAGAATATACATGATCCGAAAATCTTGTCAAAGAGCTCCTTGAGATCTCCCTACACGGATGATGCATCTTCAAAGTACACCAAACTGGTTGCAAGATCCTTAGAGACTGAGCCTAATATCCACGATAGAACAACCGCGTTGCACCTTTCCTAGTAAGCGTGAAACTTCGGATCTTGGTCACTCTTCTTGCAGGAACTGTCAATGAATCCTGTCTTGTTCTTCCCTCGAAGAGCTATCATCATTGCCTTGCTCCATACTGTGTAGTTGTAGCTGCTCGTGAGGATCAACCCAAGAATGGACATCCCTTGTGTGTCAGACGGGTGAAGAAAGAGAAGGCTTGTGAAATCAATCGCCGACTTCACCAATCCCTTTTCTTCCCCCATGAAATATTAGTCACCGTCATCGATGTTCTTGACTCACGAGGGTTTCTTGGTTCAGCGACAGCGAAAGGAGACAAGGAGCACTGGGTTACCGCAGAGTGGAGATGGATTTCGGTTCTTGGATTTCCGGGCGAAAAGAGACAAGGAGCATTGGGTTACTGCGGAGTGGAGATGGACTTCGGTTCTTGGATTTCCGACTAGGTGAATTGGGCTTCATCTGATGGGCTTGAAACATGACTGATGGACCATCCTGTGCTCTAATGCCATGTAAACAATCAAAGAATTTCTGCAACTGAATAACACCATCTGTTGAAAAGTATACGAGTCCCTACAACACACAGTGTAAATCACTACCTAAATAGATCTGTTTGACCAAAATGGGCTTAGGAATAAGAAGCAAGCCCAAGCCCAATATAACTACAACAGACCCAGAAATGGAAAATACAGGAATTATTTTTAACACTGTTTATAGTTTATAAGTAAAAAAAAAAAACCGATTACAATCGCTTCTTTCTTTCTACTGTTTATAGTTTGCTTTAGATTCTTTTGGCCTTACTAAAGTCCCATATGTTGCATCAAGTCTAAAACATATTCTCTCCTTCTTTTATTACAAGATCCAAATTTTTGAATTGATCTGTACAAGTATTCTCTTGATAAAGGTAATCTTATTTGAAGTATCATGAGATGCTAAATATAAATATCTTTTCTAATATGGATCCATATATTCACTTGTAAATTGTAAATAATTGCTTGTACATAATTTTTAAGAAATTGTAAATTCTGAAAAAGTATTTATAAACTGTAGGAACTTGTCTGTATGCCTATTTGCCTATCTCGTCCTTATGCTTATTATTCTTATAAATAATTATGTTGAAAGACTATGATTAAATCAACTTGTTAACGTTGCTCATGACTAACGTTAACGATCTCTTTAAATCTCAGAATTACCTTTCTTTGAAAAAGCTGATCCACAAATCCAACACATATATAAGCTGAAACGCATGTTTCATCCCATCCCTACTTTATTGGATCACTTCATCTCATCTCAGACTAAACGCATAAAAGGCTGAAACATGTTAAGAGCATATATTCTTTCCATGACCCCCCCAAAAACAATAAACAATTATGTTGAAGACTTTTGACTGAATTAATTTTTAATTGAGGCTTTTATTAGCGATAAAAAATTAAAATTTTATATACCTAATGCTATTTTCTTTGTTTTTTTTTAAAACTCCAGTTCACAGTTCACCATTATGAATGCCAGATTTTGTGGTATTTGAAGCAAAATTTAGTGTAGGTCTTCTTATGAGAGATGATTGAGTGACATGTTATTTTTGGAAGTTGCGACATATTTCTCTTACGTAAAGGTTTGGAAGGGCCAATAACAACCTAATTCATTGTTGTACCATAATGTTGATAAATTTACTTCCAATTAGATATAATATTACTCAAAACTAACTCAATAATATTAGATATGCCATAGCTATATATATATTTATATAAATCATGAATAATATTTCATCTAGAGGTGTTATAAAAAATTGTGCTATCTCTTGTCCTCAATATAATAGCTAGACAACTAATTTAAAAAGATTAAGAAAATTAATTAAATTGATTAATTGTAACAAATGTATATTGATCACCCTAAACTATCTTCTTTAATTATGTGCATTAAAACTATTATTTGGCGAGAACCCTTATAATTAATATAGATATTTTAGAAAAAACAATTATAAATTTAAGGGATGAAGTAGATTGAGGTTTTATATTTAGGATCAAATTTAATCTCTAATTGAATAATTTATAATATAAACATCACACATTGATCTCCCCATGCTCTATTTTAAAGCAAGTGAAACAGAACTTTCTTTGTTGTTTGAAGAAAAAGAAACCTTATGATCAATAAAGATATTTTAGATAAAACATTATAAATTAGATTGAGATTTTATATTCATGACCAAATTTAATCTCCAAATAAATAATTTATATTATAAACATTACACATTGCTCACCATGCTCTGTTTTAAACCAAGTGAAACAGAGCTTTCTTTGTTGTTTGAAGAAGAAGAAGAATTCAGTAACTTAATATTCAAAATTAAACAATTAATATATACGTATCAGCTCTCGTTAAGTGATCCTAAAATAATTGAAGATGTTTGCCTTATTCCGAGAATGGGGGGAAAATAAGTTCAATCATTCATGCCTCAAACATT